CTACCTTCATCAAACTTATCACTATATCAAAAAGGAGTCTACTTTTCTGGCATAAAAGTGTACAGTAGTCTTCCACAGAGTATCAAAAACTTGAGTAATGATACTAAACATTTTAAATCAGAGCTAAAGAAATATCTGGATGCTCATTCCGTCTACTCTGTAGACGAACACCTCAATGTAAATAGAGAATAATGTAGAATTAAGCCGTATTAGTTTAAGATAAAATTACGTGTACCAGTAGGTATTATTTTGACTTGTTCTATTATCCAGAGGTATTAACCTACTTAGGATCTATGGAATGCAAATAAATTCAATTCAGTTCAATTCAGTTGAAGNCTTCTCGTCAGAGTGGATGCCCCACAAAAAACAAAACCGTAATGTTCAACAGTAATAAATATCTGGTCATGAGCCCCAGATGGGGCTCGACACCAAGACTTACTGACTGAACATCAGTTGCAACGTGACTTGGACTTGGTTCCCTCAACTGTATTAACCAGCTGATTATTTTACTAGACAGTCAATGTGTTTCCCACAAGGTATGGACTGAATTTTTTTACTTTATGTAGAATAAATCCATCCCTTAAAGGGTTAAACGTCTTTAAGCACAGTTGAGACTTCATGAAACAACAAGCCCTCCCTTGCTTGATATGTGTCAAATTTATTTTGTAGTCTGCCTGAATCCCTATAACTTGCATCTGCAACAAATATGAGTCATCACAAATTATACTCACCTCTAGCTCCCAGAACACTGAGCACATCAAAGTTCTTGCGGGACACTGGGTTGACCTTCTCGGGTGCCATGGGCTTTGTGACATCTGCTGTAACAAGAGAAAGACACCACAATTATTGTCATGACAGGAAAGCAAGTGCAATTAAAACAATGCACAAGTCATGCATTAGTTGTTACCCCCCATATGAATGAGCATTACATACTGCTAGCTGCAAGGACTCAGGTCTTGCTCGGGATAAGTTAGCAGGCTCCAGTTCAACTGAACATAGCACACTAAAGTGGTTATCATACATGAGCAAGTCTTTGGTCTCCCATGCAACAACTGCAAACATGCCAGATCCCTACAGAAATGCAACTGGAAGTTGTTTTCAATATTATATTTCAGCATCCTGTTACACTCACACAATATATATGGATAAATACCGTCTTAAGTGCAACAAATTTTATTGTAGTTTTTACTTCTTTTCCTCCTCCACACTACATGTTTGGAGGAGGAGGAGGAAAAGAAGTAAAAACTACAATAAAATTTGTTGCACTTAAGACGGTATTTATCCATATATATTGTGTGAGTGTAACAGGATGCTGAAATATAATATTGAAAACAACTTCCAGTTGCATTTCTGTAGGGATCTGGCATGTTTGCAGTTGTTGCATGGGAGACCAAAGACTTGCTCATGTATGATAACCACTTTAGTGTGCTATGTTCAGTTGAACTGGAGCCTGCTAACTTATCCCGAGCAAGACCTGAGTCCTTGCAGCTAGCAGTATGTAATGCTCATTCATATGGGGGGTAACAACTAATGCATGACTTGTGCATTGTTTTAATTGCACTTGCTTTCCTGTCATGACAATAATTGTGGTGTCTTTCTCTTGTTACAGCAGATGTCACAAAGCCTATGGCACCCGAGAAGGTCAACCCAGTGTCCCGCAAGAACTTTGATGTGCTCAGTGTTCTGGGAGCTAGAGGTGAGTATAATTTGTGATGACTCATATTTGTTGCAGATGCAAGTTATAGGGATTCAGGCAGACTACAAAATAAATTTGACACATATCAAGCAAGGGAGGGCTTGTTGTTTCATGAAGTCTCAACTGTGCTTAAAGACGTTTAACCCTTTAAGGGATGGATTTATTCTACATAAAGTAAAAAAATTCAGTCCATACCTTGTGGGAAACACATTGACTGTCTAGTAAAATAATCAGCTGGTTAATACAGTTGAGGGAACCAAGTCCAAGTCACGTTGCAACTGATGTTCAGTCAGTAAGTCTTGGTGTCGAGCCCCATCTGGGGCTCATGACCAGATATTTATTACTGTTGAACATTACGGTTTTGTTTTTTGTGGGGCATCCACTCTGACGAGAAGACGGGTCTGTCTTTTTTTCACATGCTACTGGCCCTTGCCAGCGCAGTGTTTCTCGGGTCCGAGTCCCTTGAGACTCGCAACCATATGAACCAGTCACTGTTTATTGCTAGAATCCTATGGAACAGACAAATGTAAACTGCCGGGAGATTGTTAGCATGTTAAGTCGGGTGGTACTTGAGGAACCACTAGTTTTTAAAGGTTAATAATACCATCAAGTTATTAGTTTTCCCCCATAACCTTCAACAATAGTAATAATAAATTGTAGCATCGTACACCTTACATTCATATAGAAAATAAGAGGAGTTGGTAGAACATAATTTCCATCTGTAGGGAAATGGGAAAGTTGCTTGCACCATGTATTGAAATGGCAAGAAGTGTTCAGCTTTTGCAAGCTGTGGTGGCTCTGGTGATGAAACCAACAACCAGAGTAAAAATATTCTTTCCCATAAATGAAATTGCACCATCTCCTTCCTGATATCTAGCACTTATTACGTCCAAGACAGGAGCGGCGCAACGTCAGGGGCTCTCATGTTATGTTCACAATGCTCCCTAGGTATAGTAGGGACTCCAAGCCACAGCAGGGAGACGCTTCCAGTCGACAAGACTAGTTCACAATAATAAATTAATTTAATAAGAGAAACACAAAAAACCAGAATACAACAAATAGAACTTAATAGAAGCCGTGGGCCCAAAAACACACAACCTGTGACCACATCTGTCAGTTACTTTACTCTTGCCTTAACTGCGGCATCAGACTACACTTAATAGCCCACTCTCACTGCTTATTACTCTTGTTTACCATCATGCTACTTCAGCAGGCACAAAATAAACGTTAACAAATATTCCTTGCCCACAGGCGATTCCTAGGAAAGAAAACACAATGACGTAACGTTAAATTAAAGCCCATCGCTCTGCCACACAATAACTTATAATGCAAGCTAAACCCCCGACATGCGTTGCCAGCACAACCGCCCAGACATAATTTAGAATGCCTTCCGAAACCGAATTTGAAAAAATCCCAGGCTGGCCGCGTACATCCGATACGCTGTGGATCCAAGCAGCGAATGAATTTAGATTCACTAACCGGCTTCTTCTGAGCCATTTGGGGAGGGGACGGGGAGAGGAAGCAGAATCCCACGTGATACACTCCAGCACGGGATGAAGGGGTAGGGATTAACATGGCTGGAAAGCATGACATCATCCAAAAGCCATAACATGGCTCAGTATCCCCCCCCCTCGATCCCTCTGTCTCTGCTCATCCAGAAAAACATTAATGCTGCACTTCACCCCTCACTGTCCGTTCAAGGATCCCCATTTTGGGTAGGCTCTCCAACCGACCCCGACTCACACTGGTGCTATTGCTTAGGTCCGGAATCGTCTCTGACTGGCGTGGTGATCAGTTGCACCCCGCACCAGNATGCCTTCCGAAACCGAATTTGAAAAAATCCCAGGCTGGCCGCGTACATCCGATACGCTGTGGATCCAAGCAGCGAATGAATTTAGATTCACTAACCGGCTTCTTCTGAGCCATTTGGGGAGGGGACGGGGAGAGGAAGCAGAATCCCACGTGATACACTCCAGCACGGGATGAAGGGGTAGGGATTAACATGGCTGGAAAGCATGACATCATCCAAAAGCCATAACATGGCTCAGTATCCCCCCCCCTCGATCCNTCGTCCATCGTGCACGACCGCCTTACCCAGCCTAAGGAACTGGTATTTAGGACATAAACTACATCCCTGCTCAGAAGAAAACATAATATAAGTACATATTTACAATCACATATCTTGCCTGTGTGGTTAAGCTTCAAACTTCACATAGCATAAGGATATCGCCAGAAACCAACTATGATACCTCCAAATGCGTGCCTTGTCGTGGGAAATGTCTTTTCAATTGTGAGACATGAGCCTTACAAACTATGACTCCCGTGTCGGGATTTGCCAACAAAACCGTTACTGGGGACACAAATCTTGCAATTTTCTAGGGGACGGACCATCTCAGGTCCAGTTTAGCGGAACGCTGCCTTGATCTAGAGCTGAGCGGGTGTAGCCTAAGCAGGACCAAATCGCCCACTCGAAAATCTACCTGCCTCCTAGCCAAATTGTATCTTTCAGCCACACGAGCTCGAGCCTTCCGCAAATTATTTAGGGCTACCTCCCAGAATTTACGTATATCCTTAACTTCCCCTTCCATATCTAGCTTGCTAAATTTCCATTTTAAGCTTAAGGGATGATTCAACTCCCTACCCAAAAACAGCGAAGCAGGAGTCGCTGCAGTCGACTCATGCCAGGCTGTATTAAAGGCCAGAGCCAAGGATGGCAAATGGTCGTCCAAATGAGTGTGCTGTGAATGATGGTAAATTGATAAAGCCACCTTCAGGTTCCGATTAAATCGCTCGACCTGGGAAGCTTGGGGGTAATATGGCGAGGTGGTAATGTGTTTAATTCCCCAGGAGAAGCACAAATCGTAAAAGATCTTAGACCTGAAGACGGTGGCATTATGAGACACAATCTCTTGAGGAACTCCAAAAAATGGAAAGAACCTTTCTACTAAACAGGTTTTAACTACCTCCGCCGAAATTCGGCGGACCGGGTAAAAACTCACGAATTTGGAAAATCCATCCAAAATGACTAAAATAGCTATATTTCCTTTTCGACTCCAAATGATTGGCCCAACGAAGTCCATGAAGACTCGCTCCATTGGGCGAGTCACCACCTTACTACTATGGAAACCGACCCATGTGTCCGGAGCCGGCTTCGCCCGCTGGCAATCCTGGCACCTCCGTACACAGGCAGCCACCTCGCTCCTCATCTTGGGCCAATAGAACACCTTCGCGATGCGGTTGAGCGTCTTCGTTACCCCCAAATGGGCGCTCAAATGAGACTGATGAAAATACTCATACAGCATCGGCCGTAATAGCTCTGGAAGGAGGTAACGCTTAGCCCTCGCTCTGGACGGTTGGTACAGTAAGGTGCCATTCACTAACCTAAATTGTCTTGCCGCCGGGTCCTGCTGAATTACCTTCTGATAAATATCCCTACACAGGGGGTCCTTCTTTTGGTATTCGGCGATCGACTTAAAGGCCTCGGGAAGCTGGCCCAATATCAGGACCGAAAATGTGACTTCGTCACAGGGTTGTTCATGCTGTCTCGTCAGGCAATCCGCCACCACGTCCTGGCCCCTGATGGGGGTAGTGCGAAATTTGAATGGCGCTAAGCGGAGGATCCATCGCCCAATCCTACCCAACTCCTTTGCGTGGCGTAATAGCCAAGCCAAGGCTTGATTGTCAGTGAAAAGGTCAAATTCGTTATGTTCTAAATAGGTTCTGTACTTCTCACAGCCATAGACCATGGCCAAACATTCCTTTTCATAAACAGCGTATCTTCGTTCCGCTGGTGACAACAAACGGCTCGCGTAAGCGATCGGCGCCCATTGCTCTCCGTTCTTTTGTTGGAGAACCGCCGAGATGGCAACGTCACTAGCATCACACACAAGGGAGAAGCGTGAGGAAAAATCCGGAATCTGCAAGACCGGAGGCGTCATTAGCGCCTCTTTCAGCAGTAAGAACGCCGATTGCTGGGACTGACCCCACTCAAAACACGCGTTCTTGCGCTTCAAGGCATGCAGGGGTTCGGCTAGATGAGAAAAGTTCCGTATAAACCTGCCGTAAAAACCAGCCATCCCCAAAAACCTGCGAACCGCCTTTAGGTTCTTGGGGGGAGGAAACGTTCTTATAGCCTCTACCCTCTCAGGTAAAATCCGGATTCCTTGTGCGGAAATGAGATGTCCAAGAAACGGTATTTCCTGCTTCGCCAACTGAAGCTTATCCCGATTTAGCGTGAGACCCGCCTTCTCCAATCTCGTGAAGACTTCCTTCAAATGCTGCATGTGTTCCTCCCGCGAGCGAGAATACACAACCAAGTCGTCCATAAAGTTGTAAATGAATTTATTCTTGAGGTCGCCCAACAAGGAGTCGACCACGCGGGAAAGCACCTGGCATCCTACACTAATCCCCATGGGCAACTTCACGAACTCGAAGAGTCCAAAGGGAGTGCAAAACGCCGTAACCTTGCGACTCTTGGCAGATAATGGAATCTGATAATAAGCAGAATTTAAATCTAACACTGAGAAAATAGTTGCCTTGCTGAAATGGGCAAACGCACACTCTACATTAGGTATGGGAAATGCGTCAAACACGATCTTTTTGTTCAAAAGACGATAATCCACGACCATCCGCTGACCCCCAGATGGTTTTGGGACCAAAAATGCCGGACTGGCATATTGTGAATAGCTCTTACGAATAACTCCCTTGTCCAATAAATTTTGGACAATCTCGCGCAGCAGCTGCAAGTGCGGAGGCGAACACTGATACGGCCTACTACGTACCGGATTGCCATCGATTAGGTCCAAATGACAAACCATACCCCTACTGTGCCTAGCCTCTCAGAAAATAAGGCCGGAAAACTTCGTAACAGGCCCAAAATATCTGTGGACTCACTTGACTCTGCCGACAGGGATTCACACATTAATCCCGTCGTAACTTTCTTAGGGCGCAGAAATTTTTGCGACGCACATAGCTTAAGGTCAAAGGCCTCAAACGGAAATTCCTGTTCACAATGAAAAGAGAAGCTATACTGTCTGGTCACAAAATCCAATCGCATCTTCACGCGCGTCATAAAGTCCACGCCCAAGATACAAGGAATGGAACACTCACCCAAAATCAAGAAACGATGATTCCATGAAAAGGAGCCTATTTTAATACTTAACATTGCCATTTCCGAAATCACACAGGGCTGTCCGTTTACCATTACACAGCGCTCTTCTGCCTGCTCTAATTTAAACAGCAGCTTTAACTGCTCGATATTTTTGAACGCATCTTGCCTTATAAAGGAGCGGGATGATCCTGAATCAAACATGGCGGGTAACCAAAACGCCCCAATACCAATACCACATATGGGTTCATTGAACTCGCATCACATGGATGACATATTGCCCGAGGCTGGAATAAGCTAGGCACCCGGAAGACGGTACTCATTGCCGAGCGCTGTAGACCTTTCCCAAACGTGCGGCTCTTAAGTTTGGACGCGTCCTGGATGGACAGGCCTGCTGTAAATGACCCACCTTACCGCAGACCCAACATTCGGGCTTGCTCTCTGTTGGCGATACCTTGGTTTGACCCTGGGTATTCGCCCGGGGAGCACCCCCCTGTGGAAGGGACACAGCCCTTTGCTTCCACTGGTCTTCGACTGCTGTCGCTTCTTTTACAGCAGTAGCGAAGGAAAATAGTTCCGAAATCGACTCAGGTCGCTTTTGAAATATGCAGTGGGATTTTATCTTTGGATGAAGATTCTGAACAATACACTGAACTAATTGGGGTTCGGTTCCAACGAATTCCAATATTCATGCTGCTGCAACTACCGACATAATGTAGTCAGTTAAATCTTCTNGCGCAGTGTTTCTCGGGTCCGAGTCCCTTGAGACTCGCAACCATATGAACCAGTCACTGTTTATTGCTAGAATCCTATGGAACAGACAAATGTAAACTGCCGGGAGATTGTTAGCATGTTAAGTCGGGTGGTACTTGAGGAACCACTAGTTTTTAAAGGTTAATAATACCATCAAGTTATTAGTTTTCCCCCATAACCTTCAACAATAGTAATAATAAATTGTAGCATCGTACACCTTACATTCATATAGATAATAAGAGAAGTTGGTAGAACATAATTTCCATCTGTAGGGAAATGGGAAAGTTGCTTGCACCATGTATTGAAATGGCAAGAAGTGTTCAGCTTTTGCAAGCTGTGGTGGCTCTGGTGATGAAACCAACAACCAGAGTAAAAATATTCTTTCCCATAAATGAAATTGCACCGTCTCCTTCCTGATATCTAGCACTTATTACGTCCAAGACAGGAGCTGCGCAACATCAGGGGCTCTCATGTTATGTTCACAATGCTCCCTAGGTATAATAGGGACTCCAAGCCACAGCAGGGAGACGCTTCCAATCAACAAGACTAGTTCACAATAATAAATTAATTTAATAAGAGAAACACAAAAAACCAGAATACAACAAATAGAACTTAATAGAAGCCGTGGGCCCAAAAACACACAACCTGTGACCACATCTGTCAGTTACTTTACTCTTGCCTTAACTGCGTCATCAGACTACACTTAATAGCCCACGCTCACTGCTTATTACTCTTGTTTACCATCATGCTACTTCAGCAGGCACAAAATAAACGTTAACAAATATTCCTTGCCCACAGGCGATTCCTAGGAAAGAAAAAACAATGACGTAACGTTAAATTAAGCCCATCGCTCTGCTACACAATAACTTATAATGCAAGCAAAACCCCCGACGTGTGTTGCCAGCACAACCGCCCAGACATAATTTAGAATGCCTTCCGAAACCGAATTTGAAAAAATCCCAGGCTGGCCGCGTACGTCCGATACGCTGTGGATCCAAGCAGCGAATGAATTTAGATTCACTAACCGGCTTCTTCTGAGCCATTTGGGGAGGGGATGGGGAGAGGAAGCGGAATCCCACGTGATACACTCCAGCATGGGATGAAGGGGTAGGGATTAACATGGCTGGAAGGCATGACATCATCCAAGAGCCATAACATGGCTCAAAATAGTGCATTTGATATAGGATGCACTACTTTCCCAAGAAAAGTACAGCCACTTCCAAAAATGTGTGCTCCAGTTGCCTGTTACGTATCCAAGTAGTTGACGTAAATTGTGTAAAGCTTGACATCCCTGTAAAGACACACATGTATAGTTGCAACCTATCACTAATGGAATTCTCTATTTTCTACGCTGGGTGTTTATATTACCCTCATTGACTCTAGACAGAACTTGCTTAGTGCGTTCTCCTGGTGCCACAGTATGACCGCATCACATAGCATTGCAGTTCCCTTGTATGGACCATGAGAGATGTTGCAAGGACAAACCCATTTGTTAATTTTTTCTAGATCCTTCAGTTCTCAGGACACCCACTGTGTGCATGCTTTCTGAAACTTCAAATGATCTTGCATTATGCTGAATGCTAAGCCATGGGAACACCCTAGTGCAGTTGCTACGCTGTCTATAGTTATCGTTTTGCGAGATGGAATCAAGTCTTCCACCCAGTGCACGGTTGCTTCTGTCGCACTCTCACCAGGGTGACATGGTCAGGCATCAGCTGCGACTTTTGAAAGTCCTTGAGAGAATTTCTTGACCCAGTTGTGATTTGCTTTACATAACAAACACTTCCCACTGTGAACAGGAAGCATTTCTTTATGATTATCCTTTGCATTGAGTCCTTTTGTCCACAGAAATCTCACAACAGACTGCTGTTCTCCAATAATACACTTCTCAGTCACGGTCACCATTCTGACTACTGGAACCAGCTTCTGAACATGGGCATGACTGTCTGCTAACCTAGACTGTCATGAAGCTAGACTGTGCTGCTACCTAGTGATACACATAGAAAACCTATTACATGCATTACAGCAGTTTTACTTCCATTTGTGACCTGTTTACTTTTCTTGCTTTTTGTAAGACCTGACTAAAAAATGTTCACTCTCTATCCTCAACATTTTCCTCTCGGAGGTTTAAATGATCAATGTGTCCCTCCTCACCTTAGGTTGGAAATAGATCCAGTTCCCAAAACGTGTTTTCTAGTTTTTAAAATACTGGATGATGGACAAAGTTCAAAAACCCAGTAACTCTGAGTGTTATACACCATTGTCAGAACTCTTCACAGTCTACAAAAGAAAAACACTGAGAGCACAAGATGGGCATGTATAAAGTAACTGAAACTGTGTTCCTTTGTTGCAGCCTTTGGAAAAGATTTCCTGGTCCGGAAGACAGACAGTGCTGATTCTGGTCATCTGTATGCCATGAAGGTATTGGCAAAGGCTGACATCATCAAAACAGAAAAAATTGTAGAGTACACAAGAACGGAAAGACAAGTGCTGGAGGAAGTGAGATGGTCTCCATTCCTGAGAGAACTGCATTATGCATTCCAGACATCTGAGAAGTTACATCTCATTCTTGGTGGGCACAAAAATTGTAATATTTAGTAAATAAGATTGGAAAGGGTGTACTTCATAATACAGTATGCATACACGGCATTTTCAAGGACGTTCTTTGTAGTTTATCAAGCTCATCCGCTGCTTGCTCATGTAAGGAATTTCATTAAAAAAGAAAAAAGAGAGGTAAAATTTTCCCTGTGCTTAACCAATTAAGCACTGTGCCATGAAGATATATGGGGGAGTGGATGTACAGATGACATTTTCTTGACCTTGGCGCTGGTTGGAGGTGGGTGGCTAGTTTCACGCCCTGGCTGCTTTACTTCCGGTAATAAAGCGCCTGGTACCCATTGGATATGTAACTGAACCATTGAAATCCTTCCCCCCTCTTTCTATTTCAGTAGTTAACGTAAAGTAGAATTGTGAGAATTACAAAGAAGCATAGGTTAAGACACAGTCAGAACAAGCAGATAGACCGAACTTGCGCGGACAAGGACATCTCTTAGTTCTTGCTTCCAGGCCTTTGGTGTTGCTTCGAAAAGGGCAGAAATGATACTTCATGGAACCCCCACTGAGTTTCTTTAGAAATTGAGAAGTTGACTTACGGCGTCAAGACACTTTGAGAATTCGAGACGTGACAGTCGCAACCCGTCATAAGTCAATAGTGGGAGGGCCAGGAGTTCATTAGCGACCCCTCGTAAGTTACATCTCTGTCAGTTTCGCCGTTTGGAATTTTAGGCTGAAACTACTTCTAAAACAATCGGTCATTGGCCGGAACAAAATTTAAGCCAACTCCTCTTATTTGAATCCACCTATCCGGGAATTTAGGAGGAGGAGAGAGGAGGCGGATACAATTCAGTTAGGACCTCTTGCTCGGCAGAGAGTCCAGTTTAAGATTAAGAGTCTGCTACAAAACTTGGAACTTGGCGGAGTTAAAACTCGCGAATATACTTGCGGGTTAAACTAAATAATTTGGGCAAGTGCAACACCGGCGGCTTGGAAGCCGAGACTAGGCCTGATAGTGTAGATTTAGACTCCGAGTGACTGTGAGAAACAATAAAGTGTTCCAGTGGCAAAGTGCATTGTGTTGGTCAGAAGTGCTTCACCCTCACTTGGCCGAGCCTGACCCTTAGCCGACCTGAGGAGAGAACTCATCGCCAGGAGCTAGTCGAACCCATCGCCAGCTTCCACCCCACTCACGCCTTCCCTCCTTTAAAATGAATCGCAAACAGCACCTAGCTGTTTGCTGGCGCCCATAATATCAGGTTCTATGCTGAAATTCCAACCCCGTAATCAGCAACGGAAGGAGGAAGCGGTGGAGCCGGGTCAAGCCGGAACCAGCCACGCCCTAACAACTTCAACGGAGGCAGCACCAGGTAGGGCAGTCTAAGTGACAAGTGGCAACCATCTTGAGGGCAACAAGAGGCCTTATTAAGGGTGGGCGGTTAAAAAGAAAGGTGGCACAGCCAACGTGACGCCCAACGTCTCAGCGACGACGAGGGTACGAAGAGAGAAGCGCAACACAACGCATGACGCCAGAGGAAACAACTCCCGACAATTGGAACAAGAGTCAGGATGGACGGAGCTGCATACTACTAGTTCTACTGCTCCGACAGTTCACACAAGGTACACCGAACGCAACTACAAGGTCAGTTACGAAATTTTATAATAGCCAGCAGATCATTGAGGAGCCGTACTGTGGAGGCTCAAGAGGAGAATCAGGAGTTAGCGGCAGGGAAGCGAGACCCCGCAAACGCAAATTATCCCCCCCTTTGCTTAGGCAGCATGAGTGAGACTCCAGAAAAAGACACAATGCGACCTCAAGAAGCAGAATTAGGGACGGAGAGCCAGGCCAACGGAGTGTCAGAGAAAAGTGATTCCAACACATCAGCTTCTGTAGACAGTACAAACCAGCTACAGCAAATGCTGTTAGAGTTTTTCGCAAGTGTTAGAGCAGATTTGAGTAGCCACCGAGAGGATATTCAGGCGCAGTTCATTAGTGTCAAGGCTGATCTAAGTGCTAATCAAGAGAATGTGAGAGCCGAACTCCAGTCCAACCAAACTAAATTAGAACAGTTACAGGAAAGTGTTCGGTCAGATATGAGCCAAGTTAGGTCTGACATACGAGCAGAAAATGAAAAGTTACTTCAAAGTTTCGAGGCTCAAACTTGGGAAATCAGGAAGGAATTAGATAGTAGGCTGGAATCCGAAGCCAGACGGGTCTCCCAGCTAGTTAAGCAGGTGCAAATTGAAACCGCATCTGAATTTGCAGCAGTCAAGAGGCAGCTGCAGAGCATAGGTAACGAGATTGATTCTAGATTAGAACAGTCCAATACAAGCACCTAATTGGTAGTTAATGAACTTGCAGATCAGATGCAGGAGCACACGTCTGAAATGAGCAATCAGATGGTACGACAGAAAGAGAGCCTAGAAAATGTTATCGCAGTCAACCACTCAGGAATTAGGAAGACAATTTGAGATGGTAAACGCAAAAGTTTTGGCATTAGAGACTAAATTAAACGAAACGCCAGCCAGGCAAGCTTTAGCCACAGAGGCGCAAGTGGTAGTTCAGGAAGCCACATCTCTTTCCGCCGGACCAGCCAATGACCCTGCGGTGGAACTTGAAGTGACTGAAGCAAGCGGTGAATTGGTCGGTGAAACAGTCTGCTGTACTCACCAGCCAGCCTCCTGCAATAAATTGTCTAGTGATAGCAGCATGAATGGGTGTGTAGTGCATGCCAACACAGAGGATGTATCCTTGTTGGGCTATCTAAGTAACTCAGAATTTCCATTACCTCTGTATAATGATGCAGCAGAGACCAACCCCGTATTTCATCTTCGGAGGTTCGATGAATTTATTAACTTTCACAATGTGCCGAAACCCCTTCGTTTGGCAGTCGCATGCCGATCCATGGTGGGACACATAGGCAAGCAATGGGTAGAGGCTGTAATGCACAATGTGGCAGACTACGAGGCATTCAAGAAGGCATTCTTGAATACCTGGTGGTCGACTTCCAGGCAATCTCTTGTAAAGTGTACGCTCTATCAGGCGAAATATGATCGGAGATCAGGTTTGAGTCTGAGCGGACATTTTTTAAAACACGTGACCATGGCTTCATACCTGGACCCAAGACCTTCGGATGGGGAGCTGATAGAAGCGATCAGGGCCCACTATCCGATAGGGGTGCAACGAGCCATGCTCACCAACCAGATGTATACAATTGATCTAAATCATTATTTTTATTCCATTGATGAATATCTTCAATTTAAGGCTATTGCAAGTCAATGGCATACCAAAGAATTTATATATAGTTTAATAAATTATGTTTATTGTCACCATATTTTAAAACTATTAGTAATAGAACTTTTTATATTTCTGTCATCATTTTATTTTATTTTCTATTTTTTGGCTTATTTGTCTTTTATATATGTACCACTTGACGTGTTCCATATCCTACCTTTTCTACTGTGGATCTATGGAATGTAAAATAAACGAATGAATACAAACATAAAAGCGTTAGACATTTCATATAGATACAACCTAGAAAACAACTCCATTCTGAATAAGGAAATTCAGACTTTTAATCGAAAATTAAGGAAAGGTTACAAAATATTACAATCGTGTGACAATAATAGAGTTTAGTTTAAACAGAGAGGCATTCACTCAACATGGTCTACATCTAAATAGACTAACTGCTAAACAAATATGTGTAGCAATGGAAATCTATGGATTAATAGAGAGAAACGTAGATAGTTCAACTAGTTTGGAATGGAAATCAGTGATGAAGGTGAACTTACAGACAGTTCCTGCATCTTCAGGTTTTGATAATTTGGAAGCACAACAAAATCATTCTACTAATAGCAAACAAATTTATCCTGTGCATGAGGATATACAGGTTTGGAGATACTCCACAAGATCAAAAAAGTTGCCTGTGACTAGGAATGGTGATATTTTATGGGAGATTTAAGTCTGAATTCAGTTAACAAAAATTGTGATAGTAATCCTTCTAGTTGATTAAAGAATACTCATGTTATTCAAAGAGAAGTTCATTATACGAATAAATCATATTCTATAAACAGTAAATTAGTCAATAATCAGGATGATGACTCACAAAAACGTATTTAGGATTTTCCATCAATATATTAGGGGTATGAATGGTAAAGTTGATCAGCTCACGATTCCTTTATATGATCAACTTCCAAATGTAATCAAGGATAAGATAATTATTTTCAACATATACTCATACAGAGCTCCATTTGTCAATTTTCATTATTTTCTTCATAAACTAGACTTTATACTTAATTCCTTCTGTAGATATAATTTGAAATTTATAATATGTGGTGATATCAATATTAATTATATGGAAACCAGCAGCAAAAAGACGTAATTAGATGACATGTTAAAACACTTAAAACCTAATAGGTACTGTATACTTTCCTACAAGAATCGTTAATAATTCCGCTACCTTCATTCACAATATATTTATTGATAATAGAAGAAGTTGATTGGAACATGGAATGTAAGGACCTTGAATCACGCAGGCAAATTGGAGAATTTGAAAACGGAAATGCAGAGGAATGAGGTGTCTGTTCTAGGTGTCAGCGAAGTGCGGTGGAAAGGACAAGGTGAAATAAGAAGTGGTGATTATACAGTGTATTATTCCGGAGGTGAATGGGCTGAAAGAGGTGTGGCAATAGTGGTGCATAAAAGTGTAGTGAAGAAGATTATTTGTAATGACAGAATTATTGCTCTGAAGTTAAAGGTGGAACTGGTAGATACCGTATTTACGCAGTATAGGCCGCACATTTTTTGCCAAAAATTCAAGAGGAAAACTGGGGTGCGGCTTATATTTGAAATCACACTTCATTTAAAAAAAATCAACGTTGCCAAATTTCGGAATAATTTCTATTCCTGAAATAATATTCCAAGAAAATTATTTTTTCTATAATTTCTGTCTGAAAATTGTGCTGCGGGCTATACATGCGTAAATACGGTACACTGATTATGCAAGTGTATATGCCAACATCAGAGTATGAAGATGATGAAGTGGAAAAAGTGTATGACACAATTGAAGAAATTCTTCAGGAAGATGGAAGAGGAGACACAAACAGCATCATATTGGGAGACTGGAACAGCATTGTTGGAGATGAACCATATCAGAATATTGTTGGATCACATGGACTAGGAAGACGGAATCACAGAGGTCAAATGCTTATTGACTTTTGTGAACGAA